AAAATTTCATTTCCCCATAATTCTTTATTATGCTCAAGCGCAGCTGCTGAGATCTCCGATGAGGGCGCCACTAACAGACTGTGTTGGAGATTCATCGTGAAGCGCCCTCATCGGAGATCTCAGCAGCTGCGCTTGAGCATAATAAAGAATTATGGGGAAATGAAATTTTATTTGAAGCTTATTTAAATCTAAAATTTCCACCCAATGAATTTCAGTTCGAGTTTTGAATATCCTATATGTTTTAGTGACACTATAGCGGATGCACTTAGTCGTCAGTCCTCATACCAGGTTGTCTCTTTTTTTACTGAGAAACTGATTTTACTGAACTTTTCTCATTCGTTTATAGAATATTTTTCAAAGCGATGACTCAGAAACTCAGTTCAGTTTCTCAGTAAAAAAAGGGCCAATCACTCCTCGTATTAGGACTTAATATTGTGAGGACTGACAAAATTCAGTTGCATGAAAAAGTATAATCAATCTCAAATGTGTTTGACTCAAATTTCATTGAATAGAAAGCTCGCATATACTCAGAAAATGTTAGAAGTCTTATTCAGAACAGTCAGATCTCTCCGACAAACACGGGGAATTGACGATAGCGCTATTGAGCATCTTGAAATAGTGACATGTAGCAGCGTCACTAGTCACTTTTCTCTTTAAGGGCTGATTGTCCTAAAAATTTAATCACTTTAAAGAAAATATATCATTATTTTGACTTATAATTGAAAACATTTTCATTCAATGAATTTGACACAGTAAAAAAGAGAAAACGCTTATTTGTTTTCGATTGTATAAGTCATCAATTGTCATACCACACACTTTAAAAGGAAACATGAAAATATTTTAGTCTAGTTTAGAAAAAAATTGTCTTATTCGAGGCGGTCATTTTATGGTGCGGTTATTTGGTGCGACAAAGGAAGAAACGCATTTTGACATACCATAAATCAGAACGTACTATCCGTTGGCAAAAATTCGGCATTTCTCGCTATATGGAACATAGTTTTAATATATATTTACCTCATTTTTTGTCTTTTTTTCAGATTTAAGAAAACGGTCAACAATGACATCAGTAAGTGATGGTTCACGTGCTCAAATCGTATTTCAGTTCCTCTTTTTCGTAGCCTATAATGATTTATGATGGTATTCAACTACAGATGATGTTGGACGAGGCTCGTTTGGAGAATGTGATCGCAACATAAGTTGCCTGATTCGAGTTCGAATATAAATGGACCTCAACTGCTTACTATCACTTCGAAAATAAATGCTTTGACATAACTATATATATATATATACATAGGTAGGATTATATCTTGTAGATGCAGATTTAGTTAGGAATAAATAAAACTAAATCTATTCCTAACTAAATCTGCATCGACCGGACATATCTCTACCTGTGTATGTATATATCATTGAATATATGTCTACAGATATGGATATAGATATAAAGAATATGCATTTATATTCGAACTCGAATTAGCCAACTACTCGATCGCAATCTATTGTGAGATATGGTAAAACACTTATATTTCATTTTTTGACCCGTATACAATAATTTCAGCCCTCCGACGATATCTGAAAAAATGAGGAAAATGAGTTACAAAAGGTTTACAAAATCGACCTATACGTTGTGGACTCGATGTGATTCGAAGCACCACCACCAATAGAGTTTTGGGTCTAGAGTCATTTTAGCAACGCCTCGGTACTCAGTTTTTGCTGCTGAATCTGAAAAAATTAGTTTCAGACGATGGAAAAAATAATAAAGTAGAAACTTTTGCACATTTCGAAAAAGATGTGTTTTTTCTCGAAAAACGACACCTCTCGAGTATTTCGTCTTTTTCGACCGGAAGGAAGCATTTGCTATGGCTAAAAAGTAGATTTTCGTGATCAGCAGCTCACGTTCTATCAAATGGTGTAAAAAAAGAGCAGAGAAAAATTTTTACTCGAAGTTTGAATTGCCTGCACCTTATCACACGCTGAAAAACTATTTGATCTTCTAAATGGAATCTGTAATCATAGAGTTTAATGAGCGTCACAACGAAAATCAGTGACATATTCGTCTGTAATATTCCTTACTCCATCAAAACAAGTGAAGTCAGACGTAGTTTCAAAACATTTGGCTCATTATTGGTCAAGATGATGTGCATACGAGAAGGGGGCCGAAAGTTGTTTAGTGGTATGGCATTTTTAACATTTAAACAACTCGACGATATTGAACACTTAATGGCATATTATAGTGAGTTACCTACTTGTATTTTAGCTCTCATTCTTCTTAGTGTGCGTACTCCAGTCTCTTCCTAAAACAAAAAATCAAACATCTTTGCACTTCGTCTGCACTACATAGAAAGAATTCTCAGTTCTGTTCATTTAGAAAGGTATGAGAGATTCAGTCCATAGAATGTTCATAAAAAACTTTCCATGTAAGGAGGGAGACAGATTCTGGTCCTAAGATACATGAATAAAATAGCCGCACGTTTTTCAGAAGGCTATAGACTTAAAGATTTTCGTTGCGTATTCTTCGTTAACAGACTTTTATAGTATATTAATATTCTCCAAATGCTCGATTTTGTTATCTACTGGAATCGGAAAGCCAGACCATTACCTTGAGGGCTTATAGATCTGTTTAAATTCTTTAGGATTTTGATGGATAGTTTTAGATAACGTGCCTTTTGTACATTTTAGAAACAAATTCCATCTATATCAGAGGTCGCTCTGTAAAATTGAAAAGAATGCTGTGAGATGTACCACTTGAACATCGACTGATTATTTCACTAACAGTGAAAGTATATCTCCGATCAAAAACAACAACAACTTTCCTGTTGAATGTGTTTGAGCAATTTGACAGATTAAAAGCAATCGAACATGAGGAAGAAATATTATATTGTCGTTTTGGTATATTGTTATTTTGATGCAACAGACAAGCTTATGTTGTCTATGCCAATTGACTGTCCAGTTATTCAACATGTCGAAAAAGAAGTCACGTGTTTATCAGAAGATAATGAACAATTATTGAACATTTTTGATAAAATTGAAGAAGCTCGTTCTCATCGTTCATATAGAGATAAAAAATATAAATAAAATATTGTATGCATTTTACTTCTTATGTTATACCAAATCTGAGTAGAGCGAGAAATCTTCTATCTTTTTATCGCTGTTTATCTGTGTAACCTGTATCAACTCAGATTGATGTTGGAGAAAATGTTACAGGAAATGTTGATAGTTCGATGAATGGTATGAATTAGAAAGTACTATCCCTTGGCAAAAATTCGGCATTTCTCGCTATATGGAACATAGTTTTAATATATATTTACCTCATTTTTTGTCTTTTTTTCAGATTTAAGAAAACGGTCAACAATGACATCAGTAAGTGATGGTTCACGTGCTCAAATCGTATTTCAGTTCCTCTTTTTCGTAGCCTATAATGATTTATGATGGTATTCAACTACAGATGATGTTGGACGAGGCTCGTTTGGAGAATGTGATCGCAATCGATTGTGAGGTACGGTAAAACACTTAATCAGTTGACTTTATTTCTTGAATCGTACTGTACGTTTTGTTAGAGTAACGGCATTAATTCAAGTGTCAACATCCAAATGACTGTCCAGTTATTCAACATGTCGAAAAAGATATCACGTGTTTATCAGAAGACATTGATAGAAGAATGAACAATTATTGACAGAAGACGAATAATTATTAAACATTTTTGAAAAAATTGAAAAAGCTCATTTTCATGGTTCACACACAGTGGGCATCCAAGCGGACATTAGGTGAAAAAGTCGATTTGTTCTTTTTCCAAATATAAATAGTGTAAAATGTAGCCCTTTGAATTCTCTATCGAATGGTGTATGAATGTCTATTTTGATGTTCACTCCTAAGTGGAGAAAGAAGGACACGAAAACTGCAATACGAATATCGAAAACCATGACATGTATGCACAAAAATGTAATTTCTTCTTCACACAGCTGCTTTCAACGATTGCAAAGGATATATTCGGAATCAGCATGCCCTCACCTATCTATTGATATAAAAATGTCTACATTTCCATATCGAATTCACTGAAGAATCGGTATTGGAGTATACCCACTTTCATTCGAACTAACACGGCCTCAATATAGTCGAGTTCCACGATTTTCCTGACCTCGAAAATAACAATAAAATATATTAATATGTTTCCGAACACCCACTCTATCTACAGTGCATGCGACTTTTTATCTAAGTCGAATTATCGATTTTTCAAAACCCATACGGTTTTCGGGGTATTTCATGGTTTTCTCGCTTATAAATGCCCTTCCTTCCAAATATAACACCATATTCGGAATCAGCGTGAAAAACTGCATCGAATGGTGTATAACTCATCTAGTTTTTGTCGCTCGATTTTGAATTCTAGAAATTTCTTAGCTTTTGAGATTAATACAAACAATTTCGTGCTGAAAACTTGAATTTCAAGATAAAGTAACCTGAACGACTCGAAACATTTTTTTATAGGTTTTTGACAATGCTCTTTCCAGTGGCATCGTTTTTAAATATTGAGGAAGTTTTCTGAAGGGTTTTTGCAGACGCCGGATCTCTGGAAAATTCTTTAGAAAACTTTTTCAAAATCCAACTCTCATGCCATTAAAAAGAGGATCATGAAAAACCTATAAATACACAATTTAGTTGTACACTTACACTGTACACAATACACTTTTATGCTTTTATGACCTTTATGCTTTTACACCATGAATTCACTTTTCGGAACAAAAATTCTTCGTCAATGTGTATTTTTCAAGCTATGTCGGCCGATATCCTGTCTCGGATATCCCTACTCGAATATGCATATTTGGATATTCCTATTTCGGATATCCGCCCATCTCCTTATTCTTCTCGCTCACGGTCATCCTATTTAACGACTATACCCGTTGCGTTTTCTGTTGATCAAACGTAATTCAGCAAACATGAGCATGGATGAGTATATGCAAATTTGGACGTTTAACAGCTGCTGACAATAGATATTCAGATGCAACAGACTAACGTCGACCATTTTGCGTTGATACTTGAACTGCGCCTACGGATCCACTGAGAGGCTCAAGAGCATTATAATCATCGAAATATTTCAAACCATTTTTCTTACATGCTTCAATAAACATTAAACTCGTTGGATTAAGATCCTCAATTTTTGTTACATCCAACATTCCTTTATTTGTGGAACTATGATTACGACAGAAACTTTTCGGTATTGTTTTTCATCGGCTTGTTCTAATTTTTTAAAATACGGTAACATATCATTGAATGTTCAACTGGGTAAATTCCATAAATCATAATCTTCGGGATCACCTCAAACATGTGCCATAAAATTAATGGACGAACAACCTCCCAATAGTTTGCCTTGGGGCCAATTAGACTGCTGGTTTACGGCACCAAAATGTGAACGTGTTTGAGGAACAGTTTTATATTGCCTATCAATTTCTTTACTCTGACAACGACCATTAGATTACGAAGAATACTAGAAGATAAGACAATCAAAGAAACAAATAAATATACCTACCTGGCTATTGGCATAAATATTTCTTTTTTCGTATCAATACCACCGGCTTCAATTAACAAACCTTGTTTGTTACTCTCTTAAATTGGAATCAAAACTGTCTCCAGGTCCCAAAAAATAATAAACAGCTCGAAAAGTTTTGATGAGGCTCATCATCTCCACGCGATGGTTTGAACAGGTGCCACAGGATCTTATTCTTCCCTCGGTGTCTACTTGTGAAAACGGCAAATCTACATTGTCTTTCTATCAAATGTTATTCCAAACCTGCCTTGCTCTACTACATTCTGAAATGAGTAGTAGTTTACTTGTAGGATCCTATTGTAGACTCTCGTAGAATTTAACCAGATCCTGCAGATTCTACAGAAAGGTTATATAGGATTGCATAAGAATCAGTAGAATCCTATAGAAAAGACTGGAATTTGATGAAATTTTGATGAATTGAATGTTACACAGATATGTGTCTTTTCTAGAGGAGGGGTTTCCGAAATGACACTCTTCTATACATGATTCGATACGAAGCTGATAAAATGTTAAGAGCAAGCGTATTAAATCGATTGATTAAAAGACAAAATTAAAAACACAGATATTGTAATAATTAAGATACTTTTCTACGCTTCGGGCATATGTGTAAGTTGCTGCATTTTCTTTCTCGGGTGTTGTATTTATTTCTAAAGTAATAAAAAGATCAATTTTATTTAAAAGAAACCATCATTCATATTATAAACATACTAAAAATTCTTCCGAATTTGATGAAGACTCACTTTTTAATGAAGAATCACAAATAAATAATTTCGGAAATATAAATAAGTATCTAGTGGAAAAATCGAACGATTTTTAAAAAAAGTACCAGTTTTCAGTAAATCGTACCTGAATTAGTAATTCAATTTTTAACCGACAAAGTTATGTTGAAAAACTTTAAGATGATATTTTCTTAACCAGTTTGCTGAGCTCTATCCAAAGATACCAAAAGAAAATAAAGGATAAATTCTGCTGACTTTTTGTATTTTTGCAACCTTATATGTTCATAAATACATGTTCTGTTTTATATTCTCGAAAAAAGCAATCTCATCCTCATAAAATATGCAAAGACAGTCGATCACAGTTCAGAACATGTGGAAAAATCCCGCATTATATATCTTTTGTTAGACTTTAAAAGAAATCTCCAGTTTCAGATGGAGCTTTTCACCCAGACCAAAAGTTTTTAATTGCATTTTTCAATTATGCTTTGCCGTTTTAGGTTCGTGGCGGTAAAGCAAGACGAAATTTACAACTATTACACGAATTAAAATTACATACAAGTATGAAAATATTTGGTAGGAATCATCGTTCAAGGTCACGATCTCCATTTTTTAATCCATCGTTCAAAAAAAATTTACTATCAAATACCAAATGATAATGATTGGTATTATGTTCATGGTAAATGTTCATTTACAATTAAAGCTGTTGTAGTTGATGATGTTCCTGATAGTGATAAGACTGATGAAGAGTGATAATGACAAATAAATAACTTTATTCTGAATGTTCGTTTCCATTCAGTTTTAGTTTTACTCTACTTTTCGTTTATACTCGTAATGAGCTCAATAAAGAAAACTTTCTATTGAAAACTTTGAGGCAGGCTGAATATTTCACAAATCAGGAAGAACGGCACAAGAAAAGTCTCATTTTTATAAACAAACCGGCTGACTGGCCACAAAGAGAAAGAAACAAAGGAAAATAAAGCTTTTGGAATATAGAGAATGAGTCTATACTCGTACGCTGCTTATCGCGTTTCTTGTATATTAAACAGCAGTTTACAAAAAAACGCTCTTTTCATCTTTATTTTAAGCATAATTAAAAGTATTATGTACGTACCAAACCATTCTAATTTCCATTTGCTTGAAATGAGAAAAAATGTAGTTTGAAATGAGAAAAAATGAACTGTTTTCAAAATGAAGATTATTTTGTCAGTAAGAGAAACGTGACTTCTTTTGTGCTATCAATGTATATACGTCAATTGAAATCGACGTGTATATTTTGACCGGCTATATATAAACAGTAGCGTTTACATCGATCTGAAGAAAAACACAGAAAAGAAAAAGAACGACAAAACGGAAAAAACACGGTGAAATTTACTGTGAAAAACCACAGCGACTGTGGTGAAAGTATAATTCAAAGTATAATTATAGGAACCCCGCTGTCGGATTCGCCATGAAATTCTGTATATATTCCCTTAATTTCATCAAATTTGGTGTAGCGCGGCAAAAGTACCTAATTTTCTAATGTTAGCTTTATATTAGCTACTTTATTGTTTTTTGAACACGGTGGTATTGTTAACAGATAGCGACAAATTAAATATAAATACAATATTAAATTTAATGGTGAATATGGTACGGCACATTCAAAGTATTCTTGGATAAATAAATAACGTTAATAACGCCAAAAATATTCAATATTATTTTGAACACTATTGATTGTTGATCTTTAAGAAATAATAAAATTTAGTGGTGACTTTTCATTCTATATTTGTTGTATGTATTCTATAGAACTTACGTGAAAACTGCAATTAATAGATTTGATACAAGAATGTTGATGATTAACATATGAAAAGCAAGTAAAACATGAGTAGCAGTTGCCTCGGCTATTTCATTTGCACTACTATTAGCTGACCCAATAATATCTGAAACAAAATATAAAGATAAATAAATAAATTTATATTATGTTATTTTTGTAACTACTATACTGTCTAATTTATTCTTATCATCATCGACAACGGAATATAAAATCCGTAGGCAGGATAAAACATTTTCACCAAGTATACTCAACAAATTAAATTCAACTTGATTATATACTTGATCATCGATCGAGAAACAACACCATAAGCAGCAACAAAAACAAACATAACCCAAAGAAAACCAAGTAAATCACGGAGCTTGATAAATAAAACAGCGAAAATGAATAAGTCAAAAAGGATTAGGACATTACCATATTTTGTATCATAAACAATTTTGGCCCAAGTATTTTGATAGCGCTAAGAAATCTTAATGATAACAGAAACCATAATTCAAGATCAAATGCGAATATAATCATAAACAACCAACAAAAATTGAAATAGTTATCTATGAGATCTGATGTATTATACATCGCTGCGGTTAAATAATTTGGTCTATTCTCATTTTCGTATCTCAAAAAAATACCAACATAAAATAACACGTACAGTAATACATAAAAGCATTTACGTAACAAGCCAGATGCCCAGTTATCAGACTGATATTCTACTGATCTTGTATAATGATAAAATTCAATCTAAATATGTAAATATAGTTATGGATCATGGTATTATTTTTTCCTTAAAATAAGAAAAAATTGCTCTGAATAGTTCTTCGTATAACATGGATGCTACTGTAAGTATAACATAAATTTGTTGCCAGTATGATCTACCATTTGGATCAGGTGGCGAATCAAAATCATATAACATCATATAACTGAATACGAGTAAAAACCAAACGTATGTAAACTGATACGAAAAGAAAAATAAAGTTTTAATTAAATACATAAACAAGAAAATTGTTTTGTGTTCATACAAAATGATACCACATTTTGATTAATGGACATAAATAGAAATGTTTCAATTTTGAACAATAATTAATCCTATTATCGTCGTACTTTGTGTAGTAATTAATACCACAATTAGATGAACTTAAACAGTAAATTTAATATATCAGGTTGATTCATAATTAATTGCGGATTAAATTTCAGATAAACCAGCCACTTTTGTTCGTTGTTTTTGAGGTACCGTCCAGTAGTTCCAAGGGTTCTTTTTAAGGTCAATAGATAGAGAATTGAATTCTCTGCAAAACCTGTAATTTTAATCTCTGACAGTGTTTTTCTTGTTTGAGCACCATTCAATATTTCGAATGGTGCTGAGTTGTCGATCTGCGACAGACTGAAAATAGAAAAATATTTGCCTTGATCCAAAAACAGATTCCATAAGAATTTTGAAAACATCAGAAGGTTCACAAGAAAATTCTGCATGTTCTCACGTATTTTTTGAAATTTTTGCAGCTCACTTTTCTAGGAAAATTTCTCTATGCAAAAACCTGATAAATCTAAAACAGCCTAACTTTTGAACCTATTCTCACAGACTTTAGTTTTTTGGCTAGAAAAGCAGTGAAACATTTTGAATCCAGGGTTTTAGTCTTACCATCTTACACAGAATTAAATTCTGCATCTTTTGATATATAAAGAAAGTTTCTCAATTCAAATCATTAATTAAAACAATTAATTTAATTTGAAAAAACTGAAATACCGGTTGAGAACTAATTTTGACTCCAGCTGATGTAGCGAAAACATTGTATGAAGTTGTATATCAGTCTGATCGATAGAGCACAAAATTCTCTATCTTTCTACTTAAAAAAATTAACTATTGAACCTCAGACAATGGGATAAAAATCTTAAAAAAGAAGACGTCAAAAGCACGTCGTAGTTCGACAACTCAGCACCATTCGAAATATTGAATGGTGCTCAAACGGGAAAAACTCTGTCAGAGTTTAAAATTACAGGTGTTGTAGAGAATTCAATTCTCTATCTATTGACCTTAAAAAGAACTCTTGGAGCTACTGGACGGTACCTCAAAAACAACGAACAAAAGTGACTGGTTTATCTAAGATTTAATCCGCAATTACAGTAGGCGCCAAATGAATTTCCCCCCTACGTATTTTTCAGAGAAAAATGACAGGATCCATTCTTTTCTCATTTTTCTACACGTAGAAAGAAAGCGCAGAATTTGCTGCATCAGACCCCATC